CATTTCAAACTCCTTCAAAAACAGTAAGCAAGTCTACCTAGAAGAATTGATGCAGTTTTGAAGGCAAAGGGTGGTCACACCAAAATATTGATTTGATATGGAATTCTCTTCTACTAATTTGTGTCACCATTTTTCTCAGTAAATATATTTCTAAAGGTGCTATTGACATGAAATTTTCACTGCGTCCCATGCAATCCATACAAAGAAACCAAAACAACAAGTTCAGAAATTAAGTTATGTGCAATAAAATGGAATGACACAGGGAAAAAGTAAAGTATTGAACACATGAGGAAAGGAAGGTGCAAAAAAGCATGGAAAGCCAAGACACCAGCTGAAATCTATCAGATTCTGCCCCTTTTCAGTGAAATATCAGCTGGTTCAGTCTCAACTAGATGGCCTATAAAGTATTATTACCAAGGTGTCCTACAAACATCTCATAATGGGTAAAAACAAAGAGCTCTATCAAGACCTTCGCAAACTTATTGTTGCAAAACATAGTGATGGCATTGGTTATAGAAGAATTCCTAAACTTCTGAATGTTCCAGTGAGTACTAGTGGGGCCATAATCTTCAAGTGGGAAGATCATTTCACCATAAACTGACAATCACGATCATGTACTTTTTGCAAGAATTGTGACAGGAATAAAAAGAATTACCAGAACGTCATTACACTGAAGGATGATGAAGATGAAACAAGGGTGGACATTTCAGCAAGATAATGATCCCAAACACAAAGTCAAGGAAACTCTCAACTGGTGTCATAGAAAGAAAATAAAGTTGCTAGAATGATCCAACCAATCACCTGACTTGAATCCAATAGCAAAATCTATCAAAAGAACTAAAGATTAGAGTTCATAGAAGAGCTCTACAGAACCTTCAAGATTTGAAGACCGCTTGTGTGGAAGAATGGACCAAAAGGAACGCCTGAGCAATGCATGCAACTAGTTTCTCCAAGCAAGAGATGCCTTGAAACCATCATTGCCAACAAAGAATTTTGTACAAAGTATTAAATAAAATGTAATTTAGTGTGTGCAATACTTTTTCCTTGTGTCATTCCATTTTAATACAAATAACTTAATTTCTGAACGTATTTGTTTTGGTTTCTTTGTATGTATGGATTGCATGGGTTCTTAACATGTGAACATTTCATTTCAATAGCACATTTAGAAATACACTGCTCAAAATTTTTTTTTAAAAAAGGAACACTTTGAAAACACATCAGATTTCAATGGGGAAAAATATCACGCTGGATATCTATACGGATATGGACTCGGTAATGTATGAGGAAGCCCCATCATTTGATGGAAATTTAAATCATCAACCTAAAGAAGACTAAAGTCAAAAGACACCCTGAAAATCAAAGTGAGGAAATGATGCAGCAGGCTAGTCCATTTTGCTGAAATTTCACTGCTGCAACTCAAAATGGTACTCAGTAGTTTGTAGTGCCCCCAAGTGCTTGTATGCATGCCCGACATCACAGCACGCTCTTAATGAGACAACAGATGATGTCCTGGGGTATTTCCTCCCAGATCTGGACCAAGGTATCACTGAGATCTAGGACAGTCCGAGGTGCACCCTGGAGGCGTCGGATGAAGTGAAACATGATATTCCAGAGGTGTTCTATTGGATTTAGGTCAGGCGAGCGTGGGGGCCATTCAATGCCATCAACTCCATCCTCCAGGAACTGCCTGCATACTCTCGCCACATGAGGCCGGGCATTGCCGTGCAACAGAACCCACTGCACCAGCGTAGGGTCTGACAATGGGTACAAGGATTTCATCCCAATTCCTAATGGCAGTCAGGGTGCCATTGTTTAACCTGTAGAGGTCTGTGCATTCCTCCATGGATATTCCTCCCTAGACCATCAGTGACCCACCAAAATGCTCATACTGAACAATGTTACAGCCAGCATAACATTCTCCACGGCTTCTTCAAACCCTCTCATCTGTCACATGTGCTCAGGGTGACCCTGGCAACGGCACATATTGATGTGCCATCCTGGAGGAGTTGGACTGCCTGTGCAACCTCTGTAGGGTCCAGGTATCATCTCGTGCTACCAGTAGTGACACTAACCCTAGCCAAATGCAAAACTATTGAAAAACAGTCAGAAAAGAGAAGTAGGGAAAGAAATCTCAGTGGCCTCCACCTGTAAAACCATTCATGTTTTGTGGGTCACTGTTGCTCATCTAGTGCACCTGTTAATCAGTTTCAGCTGCTTTTCTGTTAGAATTTAATTAACCTCCTCTGCAACATAACTGAACAGATCAACATTGTCTTGATGCTATACACTGCTTAAAGTGTTCCTTTAATGTTTCTGATCATATATTTACGAAGAAAAATGGTGACGTGTTGAACACACACCTCTCTAAACACCTCCCCTTCTTTCCTCTGCAGACAGACTGCTTCTTTACAGACAACTGATTGGCAATGGTGTTCCTTTTGATATTTATCAGAGAATCAATTCATGTAGCAACCCACCTCTGACTTCCCATGGATGCCAGCAACCACCACCTGTGAAGCCAGGAAAAAAGAAAAAAGGTCAGCACTGGAGAAAAATCACACCACTGGGAAAAGTAAAAATAAGGGAAGGGTATTAAAAAAAACAAAAAACAAGTATTTAATTTTTTTCAAAGTCTACATAACTAGGCAATTTTTAATATTTTAATGGTAGCAGATTTATTGTAATTAAATGCAAGTTGGAAACCTTTTTATGTCAACTTCCATTAAAATGTTGCAACTTTTACAATTCACTTTTTACAGAAGGCTTTTTAAGCTTTTTTTTTGGAAATTTCTATGAATAGTTTACAATCTGCTATCAGTTTATATGTCTATTAATATTTGATACTCAGAACAGGCAGTTTACCCAGACATCAGCAAACAGTCAGAAATCCCCTGACATCTTTGCAGATGGCTGGTTAGAATGCACAGAAACAAATTAGTGGAGAGCAGTATTAGGGAATTCTGTTACCTGGTTGGCGAAGCATGATTTACTCATCCTGAGTGTCTTGCGAGATTTTTCTTTTCTTTTTTAAGGTTTGGCATTTGTACGATGTCCACAGCCCATGGAAACTGTCCAGTCTTTATCCCGTTAGACTACAAATAACAAGTTTATTTTGTCTCTCTATTATTTTTGAGAGTCTGTACAAGGCTTTCACCATGCAGCCAAACATCAACCCTACCATAGGAATTGGCACACTCCTAGGAAGGATAGAACTGACCTCAAATCAAGATGGAAACCATTTTACCAGTAAAAAAAAAACCTCCTAAATTTAAAGGGAAAAAAAAAAAAGTTTAAACTGTGCAGATGTGCCTTAGGTACCAATTACTTAAAAGCTGTCCACCAGCTTGTGTTTTTGTATTTTTTTTTTTTTTTTTTTTTTTTTAGTATAAAAACAAAAAAGGAACCCAGGGGATTTACCCATGATCATTTATAAAAAGGCACATAATATAAAAGTCAATGACTGACAATCTCAGTGCAGTATGCAGCAAAACAAGGGGAAGTTTTAGTTTTAAACAGAAAGATTATTCATGATGGTTACTGAAAAATTATTTCTTTGGTATTCAAACATACTAAAATATAAACGACTTGAGTAGTGACAAAATTTAATTACACTCTGAAGTTAGATAATATTAGCACACATTAAGTGTGCATTTTGCCTACATATAAAATATAGAATACATAATGTATCTTACTGCTAAATTGCTGAGCGTCAAACCGTAAATGGTTTATAGATATTAACAGTAAGAAATGGGAGGATATAGCCGAGAATGACTGCTGTACCTCCTTTACACATTTTTAGCTTTGATTGTCAAATTTAGGAAAGCTTGGTAAACCTTAGCATGTCATCTAAAGAACGTCATTAACTTTACATAATTCTAGTACAAGAAAAATAACATAACCTAAATATAATCAATTGATGTGTGCAGTTACCACAGTTTAAATGTAGACCAGCAACACTAAACTCTTCTTACAGGATCTTATTGTACATATCTGCCAAGTTAAATTTAACTGTACTCCAAAGCTTAAAAACACATTTAAAAAGGTCTATTTTTACCATAATAGATATGACATTTTATCTTTTTATATTTTGAAGAACCTGTGAGCATTACAATACTTCAGTTTGAAGGATTCATATTAAAGAACTTCAGGGCCTACACATATGTTGGTGTGCTTGTCCTCAGCTGTATTCAACAGGTGCAACAGGCCTGCACTGAACTCTACATACAGCAGACCACCTGCACATACACAAAACTGTTTAATGGATGTGCAAGAAGATCAAATTAATCTGCTTGGGCATATACATACTACTAAACTTTATGAAATTAAAAAAACTGCTTAGGATGCAAAAGTGTGCAGTTTGCTGGTTTATAAAAAAGGTAAAAGCCATGATTCACTAAATTTCTTTTATAAATTCACATTTTATAATCCTATCTGAGCAAAAGGTGAATTAAGACAACATTAACAAAAGGATTTGTCCATAAGGTTTAATAACATAAAACAAAGCGGATTTAATTACAAAGTCAAAGCCTGGGTTTTTAAACAGCATACAATATTACAGCTAATTGCGCTAACTCATAATAATAAAAAAAAAAAATATATAATGGAATATTGAAATGCAGCTTGCTTAAGGACAGAATCTACAGCTAACATCGAATGTTTTGTTAGAAATCCTCAGTTTGTAACAAAGTCACTTAAAATACTATTTTAACTGCTCTTTCTTGCATGAAAAGCATTTATGTTTTTAAGGGTTTTCGTTTATTTTTAAACAATGAACGTAAAATGGTTCTAAATATTCACAGATGTGGATTTTGTTTTTAATTTTCCTCCTACTTTAAAGATCGGTTCTATAAAAAGGAGGAGGATTTGGGACAGGTTAAGGGATCAAAAGGGAAGAGGGAAAGGAGTCACAGAGTACAGAGAATTTACTTGTGTTGTGGGTTAAGGAACAGAAGTCCTGGGACACAACATATCAGTAATAATTGTTTGGAAGAGTAGCAGTCTTAGAAGCGTCTGTATGGATGATCTCTGTAGCTACTGCCTTTAGCAGCAGAAGGAACCTTCAGAGATGGCCGAGATCCATTCCAGTTGTCTTGCCCTAGAATTAAAATGTACAAGGCATTGGGTCAGACAAAAATAAGGCCACTGAATCAAAAAGCAGAAAAACAAAAAAAACAAAAAAAAAAAAAAAAAAAAAAAAAACACACACACACACCAACCCCACACGTGTTTGCTTTCAGTTACACAGCTGGAAGAAAAAGTCAATGGCATAAGTATGGGTCCTTGCGCTGGGGGTGAAAAGCAGGTGATTTAGAGTTTACATGTCACGTTCCTAAAGGTGAACTTTAAGTGCTATGTAATAGTTTAGTAAACTTTGCTAGACAGATAATTTTTTCAACAAGTTTGAAACATGGTTTGAAACTATGGTATTTAGGACGTTCAACCATAATAAAAAGATATGCTGGTGGATAAACCTGAACTGTAAACATGTTAACTGCCTGGGAGTCATGCTAATCCTACTCAAAACTTCAAATTCAAAAAAAAAAAAAAAAAAAAAAAAAAAAAAAAAAAAAGGGAAAAGTTCCAACTTGACCAATCCCAGTTATGGCAGACTAAAACTAGTGACGGCAGCTTCCATATTTATTAGAGTATAGATTTCCTAAAGGGAGAAGAAACCCACAGAAAACAATGGCAAACCGCTGTATTCTGGTAATTGTATGTAGTAAATCCCATGTATGTGCTTTTTCATTGTAATTTCAGAGACCTAAATATTCTGTAGATTTACATAAAGTGACCATTACATGTTGTAAACTATATTCTACTTCTGACAGTAAAGCAATCAGTAAAGCACAACATTACAGAGCACTGCTAAGTGGCAGTGGAGTCTGCACTTACATAAGGCAAATAAAGTATTCATACCCCTTGAATTTTTCCATTTTGTCATGTTACAACCAAAAATTTATTTTGTTAGGATTTTATGGGATAGACCAACACAAAGTGGCACATAATTGTGAAGTGGAAGGAAAATGATAAAATGGTTTTCATCATTTTTTACAAATCAATACTTGAAATGTGGCGTGCATTTGTATACAGTCCCATGTACTCCGATACCTAAACTAAAATCTAGTGGAACCAATTGCCTTCAGAAGTCACCTAATTCGTAAATGAGTCCACCTGTGTGTAATTTAATCTTAGTATAAATACAGCTGTTCTGTGAAGCCCTTAGGTTTGTTAGTGAACAAACAACATCATGATGGCCAAGGAACACAGAGACAGGTCAGGGATAAAGTTGTGGATAAGTTTAAAAGCAGGTTAGGATCTAACAAAATATCCCAAACCTTGAATGTTTTTGGTTGTAACATGACCAAAAAAAAAAAAAAAGTGGAAAATGTCAAGGAGGTATGAATACTTTTTCAAGGCACTGTACACTTGCAGGACTACAAACAGAAAAATCACATTAAAAAAAAAAACACTGTTAAGAACTTAGACATTAAAATGACAAAACCAACAACAGTACAAAGCAACTGACATATTAAGATGTCTGTACACCATGCTATTGAACATCAGCATAGCAGGAGGCCTTTCACAGTCAGAAATGTAAACTGCAGCTAATGAGCCCACATTTGCATAATCAAAAAACACTGCTGCTATTAAAATTACTGCAATACTGAATGAGACCATGGCAGGATTCTCAAAGAAAAAAAAAAAAAAAAAAAAAAAAAAAACCTGTAGATATGTGCTTTGATTATGCCATCACCTACTGGCATTTGATGTCAGTTTAAGCATTTTACCACATTCACAGGTACAGCTGTGTTCAAATAATGAGTACAGTTCAAAATCCTTAAAAAAAAAAAAAAACCCACACACACACCTTGCTTTTAACAGTCCACCACAAAATGTTGTGCCATTTCTCTTTAGACCAGTCAATGTGTTCTTTGGCATATTGTAACCTCTTCAGTACATGTCGTTTTTTCAACAATGGGACTTTGTGAGGGCTTGGCTTCACACAGAAATCTTTTAACAGTACAGTACTCCTAGGTAACTTTAGACCACCTTTGATCACCCTGGAGCTGATCATTGGCCGAGTCTTTGCCATTTTGGCTACTCTTCGATCGATCCACTTAAATGGTAGTTATCAGCTTTCTTCTATGTCATATGGTTTTAGTTGCCATTTTAACGCATCTGAGATCATTTTAGCTGAACAGCCTATCATTTTCTGCACTTCTTTACAGGTTTTCGCCTCTCCAATCAACTTTTTAATCAAAGTATGATGTTCTTCAGAACAGCATACTGTTCTAGACAAATTGTATTGTAACTACACCCCTTGAGGGTTAAGGACTGATGTAAATGTACAATATATATGTAAAGCGCTGCGCAACTGGACGGCGCTATACAAGTACCTGAAATAAAAACTGTAATGTCTACCTTCATTTTGTAATGAAATGAGAGAATTGCACTATACTCAGCATGTACAACATTTGCTGCCTTCGTCATGGTCTAAATAAGGGTCACCTGTCTGACATGTTTTTCACAGACTGAATTACACCACTAACTGAAGTCAGTCCACACTGCTATTTTGAACGTGCCCCTTTCGAATAATGATTCAATTACACAGAATCAGCAGCCTGCATGTCATGACTGTTGGTTTTCTATTACTTTACTACACCTACTAGTAAATTATTTGCCATGTAGAAATATAATTTATACCAAAACAGCGACTGATCTGGTTAGGGATATTGGACTGCTATTTTGAACACAATTGTATGCCTTAACATGTACATTTGCAAGCTTTAAGCCAGTAACCCCTGAATGCTAAACATCAAACCATGAGACAGTACATTAGTTTTGGAGTTCTAAAAACACACACACACACACACACACACACACACACACACCTTTAACTATTGAACTCTAGATGAACACTTACCGTAGCTGTCATATGATTCTAGGCTCTCACCATGTGCATAATCATAATACTCGGTCTCTCTGCAGCAGAGAAATGAAGCAAGCATTGAGTTTCACAATTACACCATAAAATAGTTAAAGCGATATTAAAACACAAAACCAAATATTTACCATATTGCAGCTTACCAGTCAGATTTGTCTTTAGGCTTTTCCTTCAGTTTTCACCTAGTGATCTGGTCATTAAAAAACACACTTCTCTGCCTTCGGAAGCCTACTCTAGATCATGGTTGTTAAACTGGCAGCCCTCCAGCTGCTGTGGAACTACAAGTCCCATGGTTAATTGCAAGGCTGACAGTTATAAGCATGACTCCCAGAGGCAGAGGCATGATGGGACTTTTAGTTCTACAACACGTGGAGGGCAGTCCGTTTGAAACGCCTGCTCTAGAAGATGGAACAGAGACATTTGGACAGCAGCATTGTTAACTGGGAGGGGAGATGCAAGATGCACTAGCAGATTTAGATAATTAAAGTCAAACTCCAGCTCACGCTTATGCAGTTAACAGATTTTTCTTTTGGGAAAGGTTTCACAAAAGCTGACCAGTATAAGCGCCTGTCAGCGGTAAATGGTTTGTCTCCACCCCCCAATCGCTAAGTGAAAATAAATAAAAAGCTAAACTAATTTAGTCACCACACTTAGTCTTGGTAAGCTGCAATACAATAAAAATGTTTCATTTGGGGTTTTAAAAAAAAAAAAAAAAAAAAAAAAAAAAAAAAAAAAAAAAATTATTATACTTACCCCTGGCTTTGGTTGTAATAACCCTCATAACCTTCATAGCTTTGTTCTCCATAGGTGTCTTCATAACCCTGTAAACAAAAAGAAAAGGTTTCAGAAGCAAGACAAAATAAAAACGTTCTGTTGAACAGGGTGCAATACCAAAAACCCTGAAAAGTGTTATTTATACAAAATAACTTCTGTCAATGACAATACTGTGATCTGAAGTACATTGTGCAGCCCAGTGTACAGGGAGTATTGGCATTGAGTGATTAACAGAACACAGCATGAACAGATAAGGTTATTGCTTCATTTACAGAGTAAACCTCCGACTCATGGATGGATTGAGGCAAATGTAGTATCCTGAACAGTGTTTCATTTGTCGCACTAAAGAATTAAACCACTGTTTCTTTTCAATGACTTGTCCTATGCATGGTCAAATTAGGCAAGCCAAGGCCAACTGAAGGAGCACAGCCAAAGGTTTTGTATTCCAATTGTTTACTATGAATTCCAGGCAGCTGACAAGAAAAAAAAAAAAAACTAAAAAAATAAAAAGCTGAACACTTCAGGGCTTAGTGAATCAAACAGGGAAGTAACAGGCCTACAACAGAATTGATTTTGGAGACAGGGATGCAAGGCATGGCCAACCCAGCTGTAATTTTGTAGACAACAGCAGAATAACTGCAACAGATGTGTGAAATTTGTCCCTACAGAGCACAGAGGTGGGCACAGCAGCAAGTACATTTTTACTGTGAATTCCTATTACAGCAGCACAGCCATATTTTTGTGTGCCATGTTGCTGAAAAGCACTAAGCAATCTGAATGGTAGAATGAAAAGAGTGGATAAAAAATAAATAAAACCTTTACTTACATAGTCATCATAGGGTTCTGGGGCGGGAGGTGGCAAAGTAATTCTCTGAATAGATCCAGCACGAGCTCTTCCAGAAGGCGCACCCCTGCTTGTAGGTGTGGGAGCCACACTTCGGGTTACACTGGCACCACGTGTTATAGCTCCACGCCCAGGAGCTCCCCTAGGAACAAGAGAGCGCAGAGGACCAGCTCTACCTCTGTAAGGAGGGGGGGACAAAAAAAAAAAAAAAAAAAAAGAAGTTACAATTTTGTAATACAATGTACAGTTGAAAATAATGCTAGAAAATTGTCATTTGCAATAGTTGGGCTTTAACTAAAAGAGGGTCACTGTGAAAAGATGTTAACCATAAACTCAAAGCCTGAGTACTTTTAAGATTATGTAAACCCAACATTTCATATTCCTTATATGTGCCTTCGATACCAAGTACTTGTATGAAATCTCTGGTATTTCCGATTATATATTAACCACACTAGACATGACAGCACACCATGGGCAGTTTTCCAACTATGCTGGGAACGCAGTATGCTATCCTTCAATGATCAGACTTCTGCTCACACATCCTCTCTGTACAACCAGTTATTGGGAAGATTAGTGTACTGCTGTTTTTCCTCCCTCAGCTCTGACAAAAAAAAAAAAAAAAAAAAAGTTATAATATTTATAACTATACTCGAAACGTTTCACCTTCGATTTCTATTTTAAACTGAATGTGCTGTTTTACAAAGTGAGGGCTAACAAAAACATTTAACAAAAGCAGGGGTGGGGACATTTTTTTTTTTTTTTAAAAACTACTACTTGTCCAGGGACAAAAACTCTTTAACCAAAACTGTATTTAAAAATCGAAGGTGGTTTAAGGACTATCTGGGGCTAAAAAAAAAAAAAAAAAAAAAAAAAAAAAAAAAAAAGGGGCTTTATGGCAACTTAAACGTATAATATTTTTAACATGCGTGGTTTATCTCCTCCTCCCTTTCCTGCTGTTGTACAGCACCGCAACTAAAGACTAGCAGGGAGGGGAAAGACTTTGTAGTGTAATGAGTACTGGTCAGGAGCTCCTTTCCCAGCAGTTTTTTGCACAAGTTTTTAAAAAAGTAATTTTAGGCCTGAAGATTACATAAAACCCCCAAACATTCTGAAACCAGAGACCCTAGAGAATAAAATAGCGGAACTTCCAATTTTGTTGTCACAAATTACTGTAAAATTTGAGCAGAAAATACAAGCGAGTTAATTTTAGGGCACAAAAAAAAAAAAAAAAAAAAAAAAAAAAAAAAAAAAAAAAAAAAAAAAGCAATAAAACTACCTTTTTTTTGTAAAATATAAAGGATGAGGTTGTATCGAGTAAATAGATATCCAACTTGTCAAACATTAAAATTTGTGCCTGCTCGTGAAATGGGGGACGATGTGCAATCCATATCGCACGACATGCAGTTCCGGAGGAGCGGACACCGGTGAAACATGAACAGCTCTTCATGCTACACCAGTTAGCAGGCTCTCCACTCATCTGTCCTGTGCAGGCAGTCCCCTCTCCGCCAGCCCTCTCACTAGCTCAGCAGCTCCCTCAGCCCATCCAGTCCTGGCCACTCCCATACTTCTTAATCTCCGCCTCCTTCTTGGACACGCTGACAAGCCGCCTTTCCCGCACCCCTCACCTCAGCACTCGCTCTCCTCTCAATTTGTATGCATTTGTATCCTCTGCTGCAGAACACACAGTGGTCAGCCTCAGGACCCAGACCACCATACAGGACAGATCAATGGCAACACACATTAAACTGTCCCTATTACTGTTCATCTACTCCACCTGCCACATCCACATACTGGATTGCATTTTGTGATTGCTGAACGTAGGGATAATCAGAGACACCTCTATAGATATGGCCAGAGGCGTGATTGCAGAGTGAAGGGATGGTCAGCATCAAATACAGTTTTGGTATTTTTGGTTATCAGGGCAAGTAGATTGTCCTGAGGAACAAGCAGATTGGGACCCCGATTTAATCCCTTGGACAAGCAGGTTTATTTAAAAAATGTCCACACCCCTGTGATGCGTGCGGCGATATGCGACGTGTATCACAAAGACAATTTCATGCGTAGGCGCCCCAGTGTGCATTTACATTTGCGTACATGTGGGGGAGGGGCCTCTTTTTCAGGGGGAGGGGAATGGTACGTTCTATGTGATGATTTCTGGTGACAGCTTCTCTTTATTCCGACATTCAGGGTCTACAAGACACTGGATGTCGCCTCCTGTATGTAATTCAGTGCACATTACACCGCATTACATTCTTGCCCGGCCTCCATGGCCCGAAATCTTTCAACGGGGACCCGGAAGTGACAAAACATCCCTGCAAAGTGAGGGTTACAATCACTAACTTTATGTGCACATTCCTGGGGTTCTCAAATATCTACTGCTTAGTATATTGCAATCAAATAAGGAAAAGTAATGTTAGCAATCCAAGTCTGAAGTGACAATTGTCAGACATTTAAGATATATTTGCAGTAAGAAGCGTAAAAAAAAAAAAAAAGGAACAAATATTTTTAATGACCATAACATCTATACTTGCCTATACTGCACTGGAAAAAATAAGGGAGATTAATTCAGCACATACGACTTTTGCTTCACCTTTTCTCATACAAACCTCAAAGCTGAAAATGGGTGAGGTAAAATAACCAACTCACTTCAAATACTCCTTAAAAATTATTTTCTGCTAGTGTGAAAAATGATCGCTACCTTGCTGGTGGAGCTGTAGCAGAAGGGGGTGGACCACCTCTGCCACGGGAAGGACCTCCTCTCCCACCACCACGAGCTTGTTCTGGAGGGGCTCCATTCAAATAGGACAACTCCAAAAACTGTTCTTGACAAATATCATCCATCATATCCTGTTTGTGAAAGCAAAAATATAATAAAAAAACATGTATTATATATATAAAAAAAAATTTTTTTTAAAAACGCACCACAAAAATTCCATATGCTTAAAGCAAAATGTTAGGAACTTGGGTCAGGAGCCAAGAGCGCTAAAATCTCCAAACCTAGAGATCTGTCATCTAACCCCAGAGAGTGTAAAGAGAAGAGAAAAGAATTCCCTGTAAGAGGACTTCAGTTTAGCACTACTGATGTATAGAGCAAAATTTTAAAACTACCGTATTTTTCGCTCCATGAGATGCTCTCCCCCCCCCCCCCCCCAAAAAAAAATGGGGGGGGGGGGGATGTCTGTGGGTCTTATGGAGCGGCCGGCCCGGTATGCCCGCTACCGCGTTAGAATACCGGGTCAAATGCTCGGCTCTACTGTGAAGAACCACCTCCTCCCTCCTACCTGTTCCTCGGTCCAGCGGTGTCCTGCTTTTATCGGCCTGACAGCCTGCCAACTGCGCGTGTGCGAGAAACGCTGTGCTTTGTGAATGGCCCCATAGTCTTGTTGGGCCTGTCACATGTCCCACAAGACTATGGAGAGGGGAGGACTACAGAGACAGGAGGACTACGCGCGCCCCCCCCCAAAACATCCGCAGTCCATTGGTTCAGAATTTTTTTTTTTTTTGTCCTTTGAAATCTAGGTGCGTCTTATGGAGCGAAAAATACGGTACATCTATAACTTGACAAACAACTGTTCAAAACACCATTTACAATCTGCACCAATGAAAAGGATTAAAAAAAACAAACAAAAAAAATAAACCAGAACAAACCAAACATACTGGAACCAAGAACTTCTTGACCTCCTCCATGGCATGTGCCATTCGAGTATATGCCTCACAAGGTGGGCCAAAAACCTCAATGAAAACATGCAGATCCATGTTCAAGTGACTATATTTTGGATCTCCTCCTTTCCGGAGTTCTTCTTCCTAATGCACGAAAAAAGGCATAACATTTCATACAATATACAAACATAAGTTAACAATTCTATAATAAAAAAAAAAAAAAAAAAAAAACCCCACACGCACAAAAAACAAACATGCACACGTTTGTTGCACCAATGAAGCCGAGGAATCAAATTTCTATCGCCGAGCCAGGCGCAAATTTTACATGCATGGTTTGCCAGGATACTCATGCAGCAAAATTGCAGTGTTTGGGTACTTTTCATCCTGAATGGCACCCTAAACACGCATGATGCGATTTAGAATTGTGTAGATTCCGCATGCGATTCCTAAATGGCCAAACGTGAGCATGGCATTAAGGTGGAAAAAAAGCTTCAACAATTGTAGACTTATAAAACAGGAAATGTAACAATCACTTCTGGTGAATCTTCTTGGTGTAGGCATTGTGAATCACAAGAATGGATTCACCCACAGTGAATGTAACATTCACTGCTTTATAAATCTGTTCTTTAGTGTATACCCCCACAAAATTGCACTAAGCCATTCTTTGATTTGTTGGCTGCAAAGAGATCTTAATAAGAGTGTCTAATGACTTTGAACAAGCTACAGCAGGTCTACGGTAGTGTTTAATGCAGAACCCTAAAGTTAAGATGGGGGAAGGAAAAAAAAAAAAAAAAAAAACAAAACCCTGCAGGAAGGCAGGCTCTTTAATGGTGATGTATCTCCTGCAACAAACATGTACCTATTCAAAATCATCTTCAAAAAGCAGACTGACCTGTGCATGCCCAGCTCAGTGTACACTTTGGACACCTCAATGTTGGAATGACCTAACTCTGAAGTGTATACTTGTGAAATAAAACCCCTGCAGATCAGTCAAGACAGAAAGACCTGGCCCTACATCTATGGAGCAGAGGGGAATATTTGCAGACTTTAGCTCGGCTTTAAGCTTGCTAGCAGCTTAACGTCATATGATGTCCTCGGATTGAAGTGGTTATACTGGGATGCCGCCTGCAGTTACAGGAATCATCCCAGTGACGCTCTCTCGAAGTGTTTCGAGTGGCTATACAGGAACTGATGTTCCTCCCTCAATGAGATAAGAAACCAGAAAAGGATTTAATCACTTTTGGTTTCCATCTTTTGTTTATAAGCCGTTGCCAGGTTGTACAAGCATCTGATCAAACCAATGTTTGATCAGATGCTTTGGAGGCCAGACCCCAAACCTCTCCATAAAGGACCGGTCATGCTTATTTCTATCACAAGAAAGCATAAAAAACAAAGCAATATTATGGTTCGAGTATAGAATGCCAATATCTATATTAAGAGATTCTGAGAGTGAGCGACTGATCACTTTATAAAGCGTTGTCAATGGGTTAACATTCAATAAGTTAAAGAAAAACATTAGAAATGTTCAAACAAAAGGATCCCATTTAGTGTTATAAAAAGCCAGTTATAGAAAAATTTCCTAATTTTTTTAAGACAAATGAAATCTACTCAATTTTTAACCTAGCTATAAGCCAGTGTACAGAAACACAAATGGTATGCAAAGTCTCTTGTGAGGGATAGAGAACCCTAGGAGTGGGACTGAAAAGTAAACAATTGGCTATAGTAATGTGGATAGGATTACCAGATAGTCATACAAAAATTATGAGATTTAAAAAAAGAAAAAAAAAAAAAAACAAAACAAAAAAGTACTGTTTCATGGGTGTATGCAATTTTAAAGTGTGACATGTTAGATATCAACTCAGCATAACATTTTATGAAAAATTAATTTTAGTGCATAAAATATCAAAGTATTAAAAAAAATAAATTATGTTTGAAACTCTGCTGCACAAACACCATGTGACATAAAAACTGCAACACCCACCAATGGTATTCTCTAGGGCCTCTCAAAATTGAATGTTTTGGCTTGGGGGTCAAGTGGCTGCAGCCAAGGTTTCTCCCAAAAACAAAACCTAAAAGTTAGCACACATTTGCAAAAATGTTCCTACTGTGATGACCAACCCCATTCCAAGATATTCATTGGCTGTTCTGCTATACTTTCTGCTCTCCAACAGACTTGCAGCTCTCCCTCAAGCAAACCGTACTGTTTGTTTCTCTGCCCCTCCTCTCCCATGTGCATTCACAGAATGTTTCATATTTTGAGAAAGTTATTATGTTAAGTGTTTTACAAAAAAAAAGTGCATTATACTCTCAATCTTCCTCCAAATATACGCCATCTAAAAGATGTCTTACCTTTGCCTTGTCCCTCATTGATCCTTTGCCCAGCACCGAAATTTTTGCTCCAGTCTCCTCTTGCAGCCTCTTGATTGTGTTTCCTTGTGGTCCCAGGATCTTTCCAACAAAATTAAACTGGGGAAAATATCAGAATAAAAATTTTGTACACTATATTTTACAAGTAACTGCAGACTTTTGCATTCTACATAAACAAATACACATAAAATATGGATGCAAAAAATAATTACCAACACCAAATGAATTAACCCAAATAATTACGCTGCATTTAGGGGGGGGGGGGAAAAAAAAAAAAAAAAAAGTTTTGCTTTAACCACTTGCCCTTCAGAGGCTTTACCCTGCTTCCTGACCAGGTAATTTTTTGCAATACGTTACTACTTCACTTTAACTGACAATTGCGTGGTGAAATGAAATGTATGTCCTTTTCCCCCCACAAATAGAGCATTCTTTCAGTGGTATTTTATTGCCTGTGTGTGGTTTTTATTTTTTGTGCTATAAACAGAAAAAAAAAAAAAAAAAATTAATTTCTTCATAATTTTAGGTCAAAATGTACTCTGCTACATGTCGGCTAATAAAAAATAAATAATTCCAATACATTTAAGTGAGTCACAAATGGCAGTATATATACGCTGGAATTTTAATTTGTTTTATACTAGTAATGGTGGTGATCGGCGGCTTATAGCGGGACTGCAGAAGGCATTCATACACTGGGTGGGAGTGACTAACTGCCAATGACACTAATACAGTGATCGGTGCTAATAAAAAGCACTTACACCGTACTGACACTGGGCAGGAAGGGGTTAATATCTGGGGCAGTCAAAGGGTTAACAGTGTGCCGTTTTACATAATGTGCTGTGTGTTTTACTAGGAAAACATGCTGCTGTCTATTTCTCTGCTGTGTTAACACACAGGTCTCTCCCCTATCAGTTTTACTCAGCGATCGCCAGGGAATCTCTGGCCGGGACCTGGTGATTGACATATACGTAGCCGCCAATGGCGGCACAGGTAGGGCGGAACGCACCTCTAGCCAGAAATGTAAATCACGTATGATTTTGCGTAGCCATGCAGCAGTACTTCTACTATAGGGTGGCAGGCAAGTGGTTAAAACATAGGTAATTGTTGGAACAACTGCATTTTCCACCAGTATTCCCATACCCATCCTATAATGTACCAGACTGTTTACCGCAAAAGATGATAAACATTCAGTATTCTGGATTCTAAGAAAAGGAGCCGAGGGTAACAAAAAGCAACACTTACCTTAGGATACAGTTTTACTGGAATCAAAACACGCTCCTTCAGTTTCATGTTCTTATGGGAGAACAAGTCTAGGTAAGTGTCTCCTTCTTCCTTTCCTTTCACATCACCTCCCTTCTTCAGTCTTTCAATCTCTGCATTGGAAATTTAACATGAACCAGTGTTAAAAATCTGGTCTCAACTTTCAATCTGAAAAAAAAAAAAAAAAAAAAAAAAAAAAAAAAAAAGGGGAAAAGAAAAAACAAAGATAACCTTGTCTTCCATGACTAACACCCTGGTCACATCAGGCACGACTTTGCATGCCATGCAACTTGCACCGTATTCTCCGCAATTAGAGTGGTCAAATCGGTGCGGTTCCGACTTTGTTGGAGCCGCACCAATTTCTAAAGTAGTACATGTACTACTCTTGGTGTGATTTGCATACACATCTGTCAGAGGTCTTGCAAATCGCATCTGAAATCGGCATCTCACCCGACTTTGAAACCGTGCGACTTACGGTGAAGTTGCACAATTTCAAAGTCGCCCTTGATGTGACTGGGGGTGTTAACTGCTTAATCCAAGCCAACATGTTTGATCATACTGTTTTTGGCTCCCAATGACCACAGACAGCCAAGTTTATTGTATTCTGCCAGACTGCGTGATACACTTAAGCTGGCAATTGATAGCTTGAATTCTGGACCACTCCTGTGCACGAGCAGAAATCTGAGCTATGGGGGGTCCGTTGACACAATACAGCTCGAACTTAAAGCCTAGTACACACGATCACAAAATAAGAAAAATACCACTTTCAAAGGGATTGTACGATAATCTGATCAACAGTACACAGCTTTCTTCCGAAACTGTTCGAACGGACAAGTATGAAAGGATGATCATTTGTCCGATAATCTCACAGTGCACATGGGTCTTAAGAAAGAAGCTGGGCAGATAGAAGTCAGACAAACAGTGACTGCTGCCAATCAGCTGCAGTCAGTGTTCAGGAATTTTGATAGCCATATGTGCAGAACAAGAGAGATCTTTACTTGTCAGTTTTTTTACAGCAAGATCAGCAAGGAAAAAATTAAACACAGCCTGCCTATGTAATGAGCAAATGTGGCTCCCCACATGTTCACAGATAATTGCAAACTACACACCAAAACGGTTTTTAGCACCAATTTGGATTGTCGAGTTATTTTTGACAATCCAATACATACTTGAAAAACATCCTTTCATGTTGCAAGTTCTGTGAGCAGGTCATCTCTTTCCACAACTTCCTGGATTCCCTGCATGCTTTGCAGCTTCTCTTCGACTGTTTACTTTCTAAGCACTACATATCCCATGGTACCTTGCAAGCTGCGTTTCCTGTACTGACATTTTCAAAATAGATAGTGCCGCGCTCCCATGTACCAATATGTATATCTTATACTTTCAAAGTGCTAATGAATAGCTTTCAAGATACTGCATGTATCAAACAATTATTACTAGTGACTCAAAACATCATTGTGAATATTAATCTTCATGCAAGTGACATTAATAACTGATAATCCTAAGGTGATAGTGCCTATTAAAGTACAGTGATATACAAATCAGAAATACTCCTCTATTCTACTGTGATCCTTATATTTATATTGTGCAAACACATATATATTATGTGCACGTGCTTATGATATATTCAATAAAAAAAAAAAAAAAAAAAAAAAAAAAAAAGTCTTTCAAAATAAATGTGCAGGTGGATTCTTGGTTCCCTCTCGCCGAGTGCTTAATGGTCTCCCTATGTGCTCACCTCTATATTTGCCTGAATAAATCCAGGCAAATACACTTTTTATCCTTCCAGGATAGATGGGATGGAATGATGCTCTTGAATTATCTCAGAAGGTGGATGTGGATTTATATTTGTTCTCCTGTAGCTGCTCATGAGTGGGTATACTGACCATCTCTCTGAGGATCTCCCAATTCCCCTCCTGGGGCTGTTTCCTTTTCCAGTCCTCCTTATATCAGCTCAAAGGGTGTTGTTCAATTGAGAAAGGAAGACAAACAGACCATAGTGTCTTATCCTTGTGCAAAAAGGGGGTTTATTGCTGCCAGTTGCACAGTAGTATACAATTGTAGTCCAGCATAAATGTGCTCTGCCTCTGTTCCTGCAGTGCTGTCTACCTGTGTCTGTATTCAGATCACCGAGCCTCTCCAGTGCAATGTCGTGACGTCAGAGCCCCTCCCCTACGCGTATCGTCACAGGGTCACGTGACTTCATCAGGGGGAATGATTAGATGCCACGACTATGCTAATACTCCTATTTATATCTCTCGGCCGCCTTTTTACTGGAGCCCAATGGGCGCGGCCATTTTCCCAGTGATTTTCTTAAACTCTATGTATGGTGAGTGTTTACACCTGTGTGTCTACTCAAATTATAACGTGATATCTGTCTGCCAGACATTGCTAACTGGGTCAGCTGTGATCTGTCTCTTGCTCTGCAGTTTCTAAACAGTGGCTGTTGGCTATACATTATATTGCTGAAAGTATACCTATTAGGCTAAATTAAAACCATGTTTTATTAATAATACAATATTAAAAATATAAAATTCAAAATTATAAATTTAACCAATAAAATAAAAAAAAAAAATATTTTTTTAAAAATCAAATAATAAAAGATAAAAAAAAAAAATAAATAATAGAAAACGCATGTATGTTACTTCTCAAGTAACCTATTTGTCATTAATTATCTAATTCCTTCAATTTTGAGATATTATTTAACTTACATCTTTCTTTACATCTGGGTTTTGGTTTTGTATTTAAGAAGGTATTACTTGAGGATATGATACTTGATATAACTTACATGCGTTTTGTGCTAGTCATAAATTCTCTAATTCTACCCTAAACTCACTCCACATATTCCTAAATTCATGTCAGATACATTACTTCAATCCCCAATCTATATATATTCAACGCCTCAAAGTTAGATTGGGAACTATTTCTATACTTATTTGTTACTAATAAAGCATGTAAGGTCAAACTCCTTATTTAACCCATTGGGAGCCAGACAGCCCATTTCATAGATCCACTTCGATTCTTTCTTGCTAATTTCCCTTATCAGGTTTATCTCCCCTCCAGTGTTGTACATGTTTTTCTACACCCCAGAACTCTAATTTTCTTGCATCTTTATTGTGGTATTTTTTGAAATGCTGCGATAAGTGGTGATACTTGTATCCTCTGTTTATATTATATACATGTTCTTTTATTCTTTCCCTTAACATCCTTTTCGTGCGTCCAATGTAGATGAGATTACATGGGCATTTGAGGGCATAGATAACCCCTCTTGTATCACATGATATAAATTGCTGGATGGTGTATTCCTTTTCATTTAGGGGGTTCTGAAATGTAAATCTTCTCCTGGGGTTATTTTTCAGTCTGATGCAACTATAGCATCTACCACAGGTATAAAACCCTTTTCCTTGAAAAAAACTAATTTGTTGATGTTTAACAGGTGGTGCTATTATACTCTTCACCACTTTGTCCCTAATATTTGGAGCTTTTGTATATATAAACCTAGGTATTGTGGGAATATTATTTTTCAGGTGCTTATCTAATGCTAAGATCTTCCAATGTTTCTTTATTATGTTTTGTATTGATTTATACTGGGTATTATAACTCAACACTACCGCCAATTCCTCCTTTTCAGTATTCTCTTTATGTTTGTCTGCTATTAATACATTACGGTCCATAAGGCCTATTTGCTCCCTTTCTTTTTGTATTATTTCTTTCTTATATCCTTTATCAATAAATCTTTCTGATATTATTCCACTTTGTTCTACATAGTCTTTCATGTTTGTACAGTTCCTTTTTAATCTAATAAATTGGCCTCTAGGGATATTGCTTAGCCACGCTTTATGATGGCAGCTATCTATGGGGATATATGAGTTTCTATCAACAGATTTGAAATGATTCTTGGTATACAATTGTAATCCCTCTTTGTAGATTTGAATGTCTAAAAAATTAATAGAAGTTTCATGTATGTCATAGCTCAGTTTTATATTGGCTTCATTCATATTTAAATCGTTATAAAATTTCTCAAGTTCTACCTTTTCTCCACTCCATATCACCAAGAGGTCATCAATATACCTTTTGTATATTTTTATTCCTGGGTTCTTATTTTTGAACACTGATTCATCTTCCCATTTTGCCATATAAAGATTAGCGATGCTAGGGCGAATTTAGCGCCCATAGCAACTCCTTTCCTTTGTGAATAGTATGTATTACCATACCAAAAATAATTATGAGTAAGGCAGAACTTTATACACCTTATGATGAATCTGTTGTGTCTGGTGGTGTTATTTCCATATTTATTAAGTGCCCATATAGCTGCTTCTATAGCCCCCTGATGGTCTATGTTAGTATACAGTGCTGCTACATCTGCTGTACTTAAAAGCGTGTTTTTATCTGTCAGTGTATCCTTCATTTCTTGTATCACATGTTTTGTATCCCTTAGATATGCTGTAGTTTTAGTGACCAATGGTTGTAGATGATAATCTACATATTCACCTAACCTCGCTGTGAGTGAATCTATTCCATTAATGATGGGCCTACCTGGCGGGTTGGTGTTGTCTTTGTGAATTTTCGGAACTGAATACATGATAGGTAGCCTACATACTGATGGTATTAGATATTGATGTTCTTTCTCATTAATAACTCCTTTCTTTTTCCCTTTTGTGACTAGTTTGATAAGCTGTTTCTTATATTCCTTAATAGGATTACTGATAAGCACTTCATATGTGTCTCTGTCATTAAGCATATCTGCCATTACTGATTCATAATAAATCCTTGATTGTATCACTATACCCCCTCCTTTGTCTGCTGGGCGTATTATTATGTCATCCCTCTTTTTCAATGAATCTAAACCTCTCTTTAAATTCACCTCTATTTTAGGTTTTTTAATTTTGAGAGATTCTAAATCTTGTAATACCATTTGTTTAAATGTGTCTATATATTTATTATCTCCAATCTGGGGATTAAACACTGATTTGTTTTTAAGTTGGCTATGCATAGTATTTTCTGTTGCTCCTGTGTTGTGTGTAATGGGGTTGTTGGCATAATACTTTTTAAGATTGAGTTTCCTGATCAATTTCTGAATGCTTACATATGTATCAAATTTATTTAATCCCTT